AACACGCATACCCGTAAACACAGACAAACAAACAAACAAACCCTCCACAATCATCAAATTCAGCACCGCATCTTGACTCTAACTCCCCCCCGCAAAAAAAGAAAAAAAAAAGAAAAAAGAAAAAAACCGGCGTCTCGCATCTCCCGCCAGCGCAGCAGTTCAGTGGCGTCAATGCTCGATATTCTTCTGAAGTCAGTTCCTCGCGTCGTCGTTTCAGCGGCTCTCAGAAGCGTCTCGTAATGCTGATAAGGCAAGAGTGGGGGCGAGGGGGGGGGGGAGGGGGCAGAGGGGTGATTGGGGATGGGCGAAGGGAGAAGAGGTGGGGAGGCGAAGGGGAAGGACGGAGGGGAAGGGAAGGGGAGGTGGCGACGGGGAGGCGGAGGGGAGGATCGGGGAGGCGGAGGGGGAGATGGGTAGGTGTGGGGAGGCGGAGGGGAAGCAGAGGGGAGGCGTGGGGAGGCGGAGGGGACTGGAAGGGGAAGGACGAAGGGGATGGGAAGGGGAGGGGGCGACGGGGAGGCTGAGGGGAGGATCGGGGAGGCGTGGGGAGGCGGAGGGGAGATGCGGAGGCGTGGGGGTGTGGGGAAGGCGGAGGGGAAGCAGAGGGGAGGCGTGGGGAGGCGGAGGGGACTGGAAGGGGAAGGACGAAAGGGATGGGAAGGGGAGGCTGAGGGGAGATGCGGAGGCGTGGGGAGGCGGAGGGGAGGATCGAGGAGGGGGGGGAGCGGAGGGGAGATGGGGAGGTGGAGGGGAGATGGGGAGGCTAAGAGCAGGCGGAGGGGAGATGGGGAGGCGTGGGGAGGCGGAGAGGAGGATCGAGGAGGGGGGGGGGAGGAGCCGGAAGGGAAAAGGCTGATATTACAGTATTCAATTTCCTTGGCGGCGGCGGCGGGAAGACACGCGGCTCACTGTTTCCCAGCCAGAGGGTCGAAATCTGCTTGAAGAGGTTTCGCATCTTCTTGGGTCGTTACTCTTTTGTTTTCTGCTTCGATCCCGCTTTAGGGCGTTTGGAATAGACGACGTTAAACTCTGTGAATCTGATAGAGATTCTGATTCTGTTTTGAAAGTGTATTAGGTCCGCGCGCGTTCGTCTTTTGTCCAGGAAATGTTGAGTAAACCGTTTCAGATGTAAAGAAAAACGATTTTTAATGCCACGCTGGTTTACATACAAAGACAAAGGAGGCATCTCATAAGTGCTTCTGTGTCTGAAGGAAGAGGAATTTGGTGAACATTTAAATACATATCCGTTTGGGCACGGACACACACACACACACACACACACACACACACACACACACACACACACACACACACACACACACACACACACACACACACACACACACACACACACACACACTATACCGTGTATATAAACACAATTTGTGTAAGCCATGAGACATAGACCGCGTAGCTGTTAGTCACGTAGCTCGAAGTCCATTGAAGAAGTGACGAGTGGAGTGGAGTAAATGACGAGTTATCTGACCTTGTCTGGCCTCCCAGACGTGCCCTAGCACCCGCGGGCTCAGGTCATCTCACCAGCCTCCCCCCCCCCCCCCCACAAGGCGGACCCGTCGACCTTCCTTCCCGCACTCGGCACTTACCCAAGACTCGTCTCGTGTGTTACCATCACTTGTTGTACTTTTTCGAAATAAAGTGTCAAGCTGTTGTAATCCTATGACTAACCCTGCATAACCAGTGTTTAAAGGTGTCATCTATAGTCTTTTACACACACATTAACAGAGAGAGAGAAAGGGAGAGAGAGAGAGAGAGAGAGAGAGAGAGAGAGAGAGAGAGAGAGAGAGAGAGAGAGAGAGAGAGAGAGAGAGAGAGAGAGAGAGACAGACAAACGTGTGGGAGATGAGGGAGATGTAGAGAAGGAGAGAAAGAGCAAACGGAAGAGGGAGAGGGAGAGGGAGAAGGGAAGGTGAAGTAGTGGGAGAGGGAGGAGGAGAGAGAGAGAGAGAGAGAAGAGAGAGAGAGAGAGAGAGAGAGAGAGAGAGAGAGAGAGAGAGAGAGAGAGAGAGAGAGAGAGAGAGAGAGAGAGAGAGAGAGAGAGACTCAGAGAGAGAGACTTAGAGAACCAAAGAGAAAGAAACAGAAAGACAGAGACAGAAAAAAGAGAGAACGAGACATATAGGAACCAGATAAAACAGACACAAACACACACCACGAAGAATAGCACCAAATGTCAAATAAACTAGACTCAGGAAAAGGAATTCCCTGCATTTCTCCTACAAATTAACTACGTCCTTTCCGAAGCGGCGACCAAGTTTTCTGTCTGATTTTTCTTCTGTCTGTAAGTGCACACACGTTCTCTCAAGGAGGTATTATTCGCGCTACAATGAGACTTCTTTGCATGTTCTGTGTCTTTTTTATTAATTGTTTTTGTTTGTGAACAACAAGAACAATACCACTACTAATAATAGTGAGGATGATAGTGATAATGATAATGAAATTGAAATTGAGAATAACAATAAAAGTAGTAATAATGATAATG